GCTCAGTACTACAACTGACACGTTTGAGAGAAAAAGTTTTCTCCTGGCATCCTAGTACTGAAGAAGGTTGACCCTACAACACAAGGAAAGGTAGTTGGGATGCTAGAAGAAATGTGGAGTGGCCCCCACATCATTTACAGACACGCCAAACCTGGAGCGTAAAAAGATGAAAGCCTACGCAGGGCATGAGGTCCCCCAAACTTAGAATGAGGAAAACCTCAAAAAATTATTTTCATAACTTTGTCGTTTTTGTTCTAACACAAATTTTCAATAAAAAGTATTTATTGTCCCACTTCGTATACATTTTATAACTTTCTATGCTGCTCTACCAAAAAATATATGTTTAATAAGCGAGTACTTTACTAATCAAAACTAAAAAAAACTAAGTTAGAAAAACACTCGAGAAACTGGAGAAATCATGAGATAATTATAACGTCGGTCTAACCCTCGTGGGAGTGAAGGATAACTGGCTGCAAAATTGAAGATTGTCGGTCAAGGCATCAAGGACTCTCGGCTGAGCATAAAATTTAAGAACGGCAGGCTGAAGTTCCAAGCTTGCTCGACCTTACTCAAATTTGAAGATTGTCGATTGTGGAAACAAGATCGCTCGGCTGAGCATAAAATAGAAGAATGGTAGTTCACGTCGACAAAATTGCCTAACCTTGTCTAAAATTGAGGACTGCAGGTTGCGACGCAAAGATTGCCCAGCCTTGCCCAATGTTAAAGACTACCAGTTGTGATGCCAAGATTGTCGATTGAACATAAAATAGAAAAATGGTAGGCATTGACACTAATATTGTTTACTTAGCACAAAGTAGAAGAACGATAGACCACAATGTCAAGATTGCCCGCCCAAAGTTGAAGGCTATCAGTAATGCACCAAGGTCACCCAGCTGAGCATAAAATAGAAGAAAGGCAAGCGACAACACCGAGATTGCCCGACCTTGCCCAAAGTTAAGGAATTCCAATCGTAGTGCCAAGATAGTAGGGTTGGGCATATAGCTAAAAAGTAATTAGATTTAGCACCAGAGTCACCCATGTTAGATCCAAAAATGAGGATAATTGGCCGGTACACTAAGGTTGCCCCATTGGACCTAGCTCACTCAAATAACTCCCTCACACCCATATGAGATCCTTCGACCTAGGATGACCTGCTCCTCTAGGGAGAAAAGAAAAATTGACGTAAGGATAAAATGAATAAAATGAGCGAAATAAAAGAAAGAAAGAAAAGATTTATTTTCACTTCTTCAAAAGGTATACATAGTTTTTCTTTAAATGTGTGGATGTCTGACAATTAACACCTTCAATGATTTTTTATACAAAATAATAGTAATAATATAAAAATGCATATACGGCCTAAGCAGCCACATGTCCACCACCGCTTCCCCCTTCATCTTCGCTCGGTTGATCCACCCCTCCATCTTCATCCCCAGAAATAACAAAATTGGAGGCAAATTAATCCATATCCAACCACTTGGGCTTGACCAGTCCTCCTTTCATGAAACGATTCATGGCTATGGCCAGACCAAACTAAATCTGTTTAGAAAGCTTCATCATGTGATCTTCCTTAGAAACCATTCCAGTGACCTTCTCCTCTAGCTCCTTAATCTTGGTGGTTAAAATAGGAAAAGAATTCAATGGACCATGGTATTCCACACATCGAAGGAAGATGACAAGGGTTATACTATCACGATGGAATTCAGTGTCACCTGTGTGGGGATGGCACGATGGCTATTAAAGACAGATCTAATCTCAGTGCAAAAGTCAGCCTCATACTGTATCACAACTAGTCCACATTGGAAATTATATATATTTATGTGTGTGTGTGCGCGTGCGTTCCATATCTTGTTATTTTTGGACGACAAAGTTGTTCATTAAAAACTAGAAAGCAATTGATATGCCATTACCAAATTTCCATCATTCGACTTGAATGTAAAAGCACAACAAGAATCTCAAGGCAATTTTGAGCAAAAAGAGTTTAAAATTCAATAAAAATCATTTAGAACTTTGATTTCAGCAGACTTACAATCAACTAACAACTAGATGAGATAAACTCAGTTTTACCAACATTGATCTAATTTTAGTCAAATTAAGCAAAAATGAGCCATTAAATCACTTTTAAAATCTTTCAGTGCATAAGTGCAAGACCAAATAGATATTAAATCCAACAAATTTATAGTCAAATCAGACATTTCGGTTAGGCGAATCCAACAAGCCCAAGATTGCTCAAGTCAAACATCATTAATGTACTCAAATGTTCATTGTTTGTTGTCTGATCTAGGAAATCACTCCAGACCATCAGATGGAGTAACCTGAATTCCGTCCTAATTTGCAAAGATACCTCTCCCATATTTTATAAATAGAGCCATGCCCCCTCTTGAAGGGGGAGATCTTTAGTCAGAGGAAGGTTAGAGCTTGGAGAACGAGTTGAAGTCTATCATCACATCAGCATCGTAGATCCCACGAATATCTCCCATTCATGTAGCTGCCAACCACTGTCGATCACCTCTGGCCAACTATCATCGACCACCATTAGCCACATGTTCTCCTTGTAGTAAAGTCTTTTGTGGAGCCACAACGTGCAATGTGAAATTCTAGTGTACATTGCAGAGTAAGGAGACATTGTGCTGAACAACACACCCAACATACAGTGCAATGATGTATGACAAAGATGGTGTAACAATGCACACTAAATACAGCGAAATGACACGCTCTGATAACAGTTTAACAATGCACCCTCAATAAGTGCAACAATGTCTGTCGAAGACAGTGTAACAATACATCCTGAAAACCATGACTCTTTCTAGAATTCTAAAGCTCTCTTCTGAAACCAACCACTATGGTCTACATGACGAACTACAATCTATGTGGTTTACAGCTTGTGTAGCTCTCAAGTCAAGTCCCTATGGCCAACAGATGTCATCACAACTCACCATTACAACCTACGTGACCAACTATGTCCAACGTGGTCCACAACTCATGTAGTTCTGGACTCTGATCTCTGCGACCTATGAGCGACATCATAGCTCACTACTACGAACTACTCAACCAACTATGACTTACGTGACCTAGAGCTCGTGGAGCTCTTGAAGCCAACCTTTGCGGCCTACGGACGACATCAAAGCTCACCAGTATGGCTTATGCAATCAACTATGACTTACATAGTCCATAACTCGTTTAGCTCTCTACTCCAGCCTCTGCAACCTACATATATCATCAAAGCTCACCACCATGACATATGTAATCAACTACTACATATATGATGTATAGCTTATGCAGCTTCTGACTCTGGCCCTTGTGGCCTATGGACGTCATCAAAGCTCACCACTACGACCGAAGTGATCAACTAAGACCCATGTGGCTCACAACTCATATAGCTTCCAACTACGACCTCAACACCCAATTAACGCTCCTAAAGCAACCATCTGTGGCCCACACAATTACTACCATGGACTTAAACTACAGTCTATACGACAAGCTAGCGCTACAGTTACGATCTACAACATTCACGATAAACTACTATTTACATAACAATTGACTATAGCCCTATTACTAAGAACTGTATTTAATACAGTTAGATTGCAACTATTATCAATGAACTATTATTGTACATTAATAATGATCAACTTTATATTTAATACAGTTAGATTGCAACTATTATCAATGAACGATTATTGTACATTAATAATGATCAACTTTATAATTTTATCTTCTCTAATTCAGGGGAAGAGTGAATATGTGTACTTGTCATTCATAGTGGATTGTTTCAATTAGGTTAGCCTCTTTGGTTTTTCCCCCTTTCCAGAGTTTTTTCACATAAAAAGTGAAATTTCTCCTCTTACTTATTTCTCTTTAATTACCAGGTATGTGATGAGTTTTCATGCACCACTAAGATGATATTCTATTACTCTATCATCACGGAGCTTCCAACACACATCAAAGATGACGTGGGCTTGCCCAATTCTTATGATGCTAAATATGTCCGTTCATACCATTTTGTTGTATTGTTATCATTTATATATGTATTTTTATTTTATTTTTTCTGTCTAAGCCTTTCGATGCTTTAAAAAACTATATTTATTTTGTAATAAAAAAAAAAAATTGTAGATGATTCTTGCAAGCTTAAAGAGGCGAAGGGCTTATTTTTCTTATTTTGTTCATATAAGACAAACATTGAAACCATGTTTTGGCAGTTCTCTTATAAAATACAATTCTTCCATAAGATTATCTATACATGAGCTACAAATACTTTGAAATCAAGTGAATAAACAAGCTTATTAAAATAAACTCCAATAATAAGAGCCGTGCGAAAAGATGTGAGTTATCGTTGATAGCTAGGCTAAGTTGATAAATGTAAATATAAATGTCTCTCTCATACGTAAGAATTGTGGCTAGGCTAAGTTGATAAATGTAAATATAAATGTCTGTCTCATACGTAAGAATTGTGTCTTGTGCTATGTATGTAAATATTGCTTAAAATTATAATTTACATTACAAAAATGGCCGGCGCTAGGCCTAAACGATCTCCAAACATCCCTCTCAACCATGCTAATCAAATAGCCCTTTTGCTCCCAAACAGCAAGGGAAACAAATCCTCTCCTAAAAATGACTTCACAAATTCGTTCCCTTTCACTCTCCACCATCTGCCAAATCCTCCTTCTCACTCTTTCGATAAGCATCAAATCACTCGCGAACTCACCGGAGAAGAAGACCTCCGCCTTTTTCATCTTCGGCGACTCCACCGTTGACGTCGGAAACAACAATTACATCGATACGCTCGTGATGAGCAAAGCAAACATGCCTCCGTATGGACAAAATTTCTTCAACAAGCCTACGGGCCGTTTTTCTAACGGCCGGCTTGTTGTAGATTTCATCGGTACTTTTAACGCATCCATTTTTTTTTTGCCTTAATTGTTTGGGGTCAATAATATATATGTGTTGTTGATTTTTTTCTCCTTGCTTTTTTCTTGCTTTTCTTCTGCAAAGCGGAATATGCTGAACTTCCATTAATTCCACCATCCAAGCAACCTTCTTCTAAGTTTATTAATGGCGCTAACTTCGCGTCGGGAGGAGCAGGCGTTTTGCCTGAAACATATCAAGGATTTGTGAGAACTGATATTATTTTTCTTCTTCAATTTTATTCTTTCCTTGTTTAAACCCAAAAATGGAAAAAAAAATCATTTCTTTTTGGGGGTACATAGCACTCGAAACTTTCTATTTTACATATTTCACACCTATATTTCAAATTTGACTGCTTGGAACTCAATTTAACGGCTTTGCTCTTTTAACCTAAATCCTGATTTAAGCGGAAGTTAGCAAATTTAACCTAAATCCCTCCCATCAGCAAAAATGACACCTTTAAATCCTGCAGGTTCTTAAATCCCATTTTTTCCCCGTTTTGCCTTATATCCAAGATTTATGGGATTTAGAAAAGCTGAAGCTCGCGAAGGCGGGTGAAAAGAAGTGGGAGAAAAAGGAGGCTTATTTTCTTTCCCTGGAGTGTTATTTTCGTTTTAGTTGTACAATTTTGAGTGCTATAAAGCAAATAGTAAAGTTTAGGTGTGTAAAATGTTTAATATCAAGTTTTGAGTGCTATGTATGTAAATTGCACACCCCCACCCCTTCTTTCAGTTGTAAGATTCTATGAATTTTCACCAATACAAGCATATAGATAAATCATTTTGGCTATTATGTTTTATCTCAGGTTATTGATTTTCCAACACAGTTGGAGCAATTCAACAGTGTTGTGAGCTTGCTAACAGCAGAGTTGGGTGATGCAGAAGCAAGAGAACTGATTGCCAATGCTGTTTACTTCATCAGCATAGGAAGCAACGATTACTTGTACTATTTAGGTAGCCCGAAAGTGCAGGAGATTTTCACTCCTGAGGATATTATTGCAATGGTTATTGGAAATTTGTCTGAAGCAATCCAAGTGAGTGTAAAATATATAATCATCTTTCAGAAGTTTTTTTTTTTTTTTTTTGTTTTTTTTTTTTTTTTTTTTTTTTTTTTTGGAAGGGATTATATGAGAAGGGAGCAAGGAAATTCGGTTTCCTGAGTACATCCCCATTAGGGTGTTTGCCTGCTATAAGAGCAGCAAATCGGAAAGCAGATGGAAGTTGTTTTGAGGATTTCTCTGCACTTGCATTGGCACATAACAATGCTTTATATGGTGTGCTCCTAAGCTTTGAACACATTCTTAAAGACTTTAAGTATGCCTTCAGCTCAGGCCACTACAGTTGGTTGCATGAAGTAATTCATAATCCAACTAAATTTGGTATCTTTCAATCCTAACCCAATTTCTCTATTTTTTTTTCTGTTTGTTTTTAATTTCGATTGAAATTCTACTGACGAATTTCTTATTGAATGCCTCAAAAAGCAATACTTGAACTGCGCATTAAAATTTATGCATAATAAATCCAAAGATTAAGGCTTGTTTTATTAAAGAGAGAATACTTTGAACTCCCCTCACATTGCCATATCATTGATTATAACCTAACGTAAATCAACTCCGCTTGTACAAAACATGACAAATATCAGGATAAATTAATTAGTGACAAAGATGGTTGTATTTGCTGAATTAAGTATCTACTAAGGCGGAGACTTAATTGTTCTTACTATTTTTTTAACCTGCAATAAATCTCAATCTTTGATGAATATGTGCTTCTCATATGTAGAAACCTGAGGTAAATTTGGTCGTAAAAATCTTTTTTTTTTTTTAATTTCCAATGCTTAAACTAGGAAAGAAACTCTAAGATGAATATCTTACAGAATTCAAAAGTGGAATGCCAATAAAATTCCTCTTATGGACGCCCTTTGGTGTTAAATATTATATATGCGCCTAAAATTAATCTCTGCTTAATATTAAAGCTTTTTTTACTTAAAAATCAAATTAAAAAGCTTTTTTACTTAAAAATCAAATTAAAATGTGAATTATTTTCATCAAAATTCATGCATTTGTAGGAACAAGTATCTCCCAACAATAAACGTAAACTCTTCACAGCAAAAAAATTTAAATTTTCGATGTAAATATGTGTTCTTTGCCACTTTTATGACAATTGTATAATCTGATGCTTAGAATTTTGGTTTAATGAAGGGTTTAAAGATGGAATCAATGCTTGTTGTGGGACTGGGCTATATGGAGGCATATATAGCTGTGGAGGAAACAAGGAAGTGGCTGAGTACGAGCTGTGTAATTCACCAGACGATTTTGTGTTTTGGGATTCTTTCCATGGAACCGAGAAGCTTGCAAAGAAATTAGCAGATAAACTGTGGGAAGATCAACCGAACTCAGTCGGGCCATACAATCTGAAGGAGCTGTTCTTCAACCAGGAAAAGTCGAGAATTGAAGATATAGTTGAAGCTAAGGAAAACCTTGAGGCGTTTGCTATGTGATTTATGAGTAATCATTCTGCTCGTTTAAAAAAAAAGTAGTGTTAGTCTAATGATAATAATGGTTCTCATGATTTTAGCTGGCTTTAACTTTTTCAGCATCAAGCTATGAGAACTTTGGTCAAGTCTTCTGTTCTTTTTGTGGCAGGCAAGATGTGAAATTCATCTTCTTTGCATAGCTCCTTGATCTGCTTTCTTCTTTTTTTTTCTTTTTTTTTTTTTCTTCCTGTTAATGTTAGAAGCTATCATGTCTCCTTCAGCAAAGTTAGGATCCTAATTAGAAGTTCAAATTCTCTGATATATGTAATTCATAATCATAACTCTTAGAAATTTTTGGCTCAATATTTTGAGTTAGGTTTTAGGCAGTAGTACTGTAAGGCATCTCTTTTTATACTCCAATAGAGTTTTTTTTTTTTTTTTTAAGGCAATGTAGTATTATCAATGGATGCAGCAATTTGATGTAAAAATATTGCGGTTAAAAGATTGTATTCTGTTTACGTATTTTGAAGCCCACCTACCAAAGTGGCTAAATAAAGTTTTTCTGCTAAAGTGGTTGAATTGAACCCACCTGTCAAAGTGGCTGAACTGGGTCCATCTGCCGAAGCGATTGAACTGAACTCATTTGTCAAAGTGGTTGAACTCATCTCTTTCACCAATTGAGAGCCATCCTAGCCTGGTTAAAGAGACATAATTACTAGAGATTATCATTATTACCAGCAAGAACCCGGACCCGTTCATCTTTAAAAGCATTGCCGGACATCCACGTCACAGTCTTTTCATCACGACGTCATGAATGGGAGTCGTGCAATACTTAAGATATATATATATTTTTTTATTTTTCTTCTTTTATATAAAAGGAAGTTGAGCTAGGAGAGAGAGCCCCCTCATTTCTCGTGATTTCTAGGATTTTTGGGGATCTCTCTCTCTCCCCCCTCTAAAAAAGCTTTGTAGCTCGGAAAATCTCCAATGAACCCAATATATGGCCTTCCGGAGGCTCGAGTTAAATAGATAATCTCTGAAATCTCTCTTATCTTACATCCATTTCTCTTCTACTCTCTTATCTTTTGAAAAATATTTTTCTGTAATTTCTCTCAGAGCAAAAACAAAAATACTAATTTCATTCTACATCTAAGCAGTTTACAAATCTGTCCTCCGAGCACGGACTTCTGCAACGATAGGCCAAGTTATCTGAGCTTTAATTAAACTCATCAAATTCGACTTCAGTGACATGAAACGGTTAACAGAGCAAACAATCTTCGTCTGATTCTATTAAATTAAGTTACGATTTTCCAAGTGCTGGTCATCTGTAATATCATTCTACCATTATTAAGAACAAAGAAACGAAAAACGTATGGCGTCAGTTTTGGCAGGTCAAATTTTATTTGCAGAAAAATTGCTGTAGCTTTTGTTCGTTATATTCATCTTCTTTCTTATTTTTTTCGTTTTCATTAGGAGAAAGAGCATTCAAGCGTGACATGTGGAGGTGGAAAGGACGAAGATGATAACTGAATTTGACCAAAAATTTAAGTAATTAATGAAAGGCGTGCGGGGAAATGCACTGGTATGTTTAAATTTCTTATAACCCGGCAACTAAAATAATCATTGAAAGAGTGCTGCAATTGTATTTTAGCAGGCTGCATCCAAGTTTGCAAAATTAGCTATGTATTTAATTAAGAGTGCGTTTAGGGCAGTTTTTTAGCTGCGATGCGGT